GCTGAGAGAGAGCGAGAGAGAGAGCGAGAGAGGACAACAGAGAGGGAGAGAGAGAAAGCAAAGGAGAGCGGGAGAGAGAGAGAGAGAGAGAGAACGAGAAAAGGGAGGATGGGGGACGAAGCGTGAACGGAGGGGGGGAGGAAGCGCAGGGGGAGAGGAGGGGAGGCAGTAGCAAATGATGACACGCGCGGCATCTTTGTCGTAACGGCGCTGGGCCTCCGCAAAGTTTCCCATCCTCTTGATCCCCTATCTCCTGCTCATCCCTACCCCTCGGAGCTTCTGCTGCTTCTTGCCAGCCACTTCGTGGGGGACTCGGGGGGCAGGAACTGCGCAGGGTGGGGCTGCCAATATAATGGCTATGTAGGCGTAGGTGCTCGCCTTTGTAATGCTTGGCGATCTCAGGCACGAAGCCCTCAACAGCGAAGCTAAGGGTCCCTCTTATCCATGTGCTTTGGGTATGCTATGTAGAATGGCGGCCAGTCGAATTTTGGCATCTCGTCGTAACGGCGCTGGGCTCTGAGCTCCATCGGAGTGAAGAGGCTGATCAGGTCCTCTCTTACCTCAGTGCCGCTGCAGAACGGCAGTGATCACGCGTAGCAGTGAGCGGATGGAAGCAAACACTTGATTATCCATCTCTTTTCGCGCACACAAAGGCAAAGCCAGCTCGAGCCTTGAGTCTGGAGAACAGGCGTTCAGGTGCAGCGGCGCAACACCGCCCAGTGCTGCCATTTATCTCCTCGTTTCAGCAGGAAGAGGAGGAGGAGGAGGAGGAGGAGGAGGGAGAGGAGGGAGAGGAGGGGGAGCGCAGGGTTTCGAGTATGCTAGTGTGTGCATGTATGGGTGTTGCGTGTACGGGCTGCGCGTGTTCTATCGGAGGAGGAGCGAGAGGATCTTCCCCCTAACCTCCGCAGCCGATGGGCACACTCTGCAACACCTCCGACATGTTGTAGTAACCGGATTGGCCTTTTGTGTCAAGCGTGTTCCCAATTGTTCCCAATCAGTCCAAAGAGCGAGGCTGTCGCGGTCAGAGTTCTTAACTTTCGATGCTGAAGGTCATCTTTCTCCAATCACATCAACGATCATCTTTCTTAAGCTGTTGGTATCGTCGCTGTTCAGGTGCAGTCTCCATCAAGCCAGGGTGTAAAGTAGCTGAACAAAGCTCAGCACCGACCCACTACCATTGAGCATGTTCTCACCCTGAGGGGGGGGGGGAAGCGGAGGTTTTTGTCGGGGGCGGGGGAGTGGAGGACCCACCCGCCCTGAGAGACAAGAGCTGACCGCACCTCGGTCAGGCAGCCCAGAGGCGTCCATACCCTCGGGCCCAGAGGCTTCACCTCTGAACTACTATCTCTCTCTCGCTCTCTTTCTCCCTCTCTCACTCTCTCTTTTGTCTCTCTTTCTCTCTCTCTCTCTCTCTCTCTCTCTCTCTTGGGGTCGGACTTGAACTGTGTGCATGCTTGCGTATTCTGCTCATCTGGACTCTTCTGCTGCGAGTGCGACTGCGGAGAGGAGGGGGGGGGAGGGCGGGTGCTCGGTCTCCGGGCGGCGTGCTATAGCTTTCCCTGCAGGTCCGCGCCCGAGCCTCCTCCTCCTCCTCCTCCTCCTTCTCCTCCTCCTCCTCCTCCGAGGCTCGTCCTGCTCGTCTCCAGGTGGGGCGGGGCGGCGTGGCAGGCTGGAGGGCATCTCAGGTCGCTCTGGAGTCGTCTTGGATCTTGGGCCGCAGGGCTGCTCGAAGGCTGTAGAAAGCCTCTCCGGCGACCTGGTGGAGCCCGTGGACTTATGCGGCCCCAGGCAGGCAGACTGTTCACCGGGCAGGGGGGGAATTTGAAGTACGGAAACAGTGTGGCTTCAAGGAAAAGCGGAAGTACGAGTGCGAGTTGCCAGAACATTAGAAGTATGAAAAATACATTCAAAATGACAAAAGGTTTGAGACAAGTATGGGGGGAAATGGACGCATGGGAAAGGTTTGAAACCAGTAGGGGGGGAGTGGAAATATGAAAAAGTATGAAACCAAGTTTGCAAGCGCAGGGGGGAGATTGAAGCATGCAAAAAAAATGAAAACAGTACGAAAACGCATGCACGACGAAGGCAACCTATGGCAAACACGAACACTGCATGAACTATAGGGACCAGGCCTGTAGTTTCTATACATTATGGATATGGTATGTTTAACGTTTTCTTAAATTTTCAGTTCACGGAATAGTTGTTTTGCTGTTGTTGTTTTGGTAATTCGATGTTCTCCGTATGTCGTATATCAAAACGTGTTCCATATCATTGTTTGAAATTTCCAGTGGCAGCTAAAATTCATATTGGTATGTTTTGTCTTCATGTCTCGTTTGGGATGTTCTGAGGTCTCATTGCCACGAGTTCTATTGTGTGCAGGAGTCACATGGGGGACGGGCGGCTACCTTTTGAGCACGAGTTTCTCACCAGATGCATTTTCGCATGCGATTGCAGGGGGGGCGCAACGTTGTGGAACAGCCGTCTGGAGGGAGGACCGATCCTTTACAAAACGGGAGTTCGCCTGATATTTCATCCGATAACTCTAAATTCCGATTGCTCGCTTGGCGCGCGCAGATGGGGCCATCTGTTTTCAAAATGGGACTTTCGCTTCAATCACTCCAGGAAGCCAGAATTTACGCGTGGCCCACATGTATAGGGGGGGGGGGGCTCCTGTGGGACCCGCCGTTCGTGCGACAACAACCAGATGTTTGTTTTTGCGCGTGCCGTGTGTTGCAGATGTTCACACTTTGCCAGTGCAGGTTTGCCATACTTAGAATCAATATACAAAAATCCGAAGTCAGAGCCAATTTGCAATTCACAACACTTAGAATCAACGTGTATTCAATCCACAATTTGGTTTTCAGTGTAATGATCTTCCAGAGACGTCTAGTGGGGCCCCGGAAGCTCACCAGGAAAACGCGAAAGTCATGAACAATTCGAACAAGCACATGTTATCACATGGGTAGAACGGTAATAATTGAGACAACGCTTAGGAAAACATGTGATTGTTAATGACTTTACTCGCTGCGCTAATTGAAAGCGCTGGCAGTCAGAGTTGTCTTCCGTGTTTCTTGATTTCCTTGTGAAAAGGCAAAAGTGTTCTTGGTCTTTCTTGTTTCCTTATTTTCCTGTGAAGTTTCCGCGGCCCCACGGCGTCGCCACTAGGAGCCTCCACACTTAAGAACAGTTCGAAAAGCCATACATTCAAATTCAATGCGAAAAACTGTACACTCAGAATCAAGTCCAAAATCCACAATGAAATTGAATGTGCAAGTCCGTCCAACTAAAATCAGTCTGTAATCCATTTACATGTTGTTTTCGATTGCAATGCATTTCCAGAGGCAGCCCCGTGGGGCCGCATAAGCTTACCAGGAACACAGGAAACAACCAGAAGCCCATGAACAAGCTAATGCATGTGCAAGGGAAACATGACCAACCATAGAAAAAGCGAACGAAAACCTCGGACCGTTAGTGTTTTTACATGTTGCGCCACTACAAAGCTGTTTTTACATGGCAAAACAAGAATGATACCGGAGAAAAAACCCAATCAGAATTTTTGTTAATCTTCCAACTGCTCCTTTATAGGGCTATCGGGCTATAGGGCTATAGGGCGTTAGAGCTATCGGGCTATAGGGCTATAGGGCTATAGGACTGTGACCTATAGGGCTATAGGGGTATGGCGCTATGGAGCTATATGGGCGATGGGGCTATAGGGCTATATGGGCTATGGGGCTATAGGGCTATAAGGCTATTAGGGCTATAGGGAAGTAAGGCTATAGGGCTACAGGGCTATAGGGCTATACAGCTATATGGCTACTGGGCTATTGGGCTATTGGGCACCCCCGGGCACCCAGGCACCCCCGGGCACCCGGGCACCCGGGCACCCGGGCCCGGCCACCGAAATCGGCCATGCACCTCACCGGCCACCCGTGCACCTGGGCACCGCCGGGCACCCGGGCACCCGGGCACCCAGGCCCAGCCACCGAAATCGGCGACAAACCTCACCTAACCTTTTAATCCGCTAGGACCCCTACAGAGGCAAGCTCTGATTGGGGAATATGGATGGACATTTGCGATGGTATTGGTGCAACAAATAAAAGAGCGCCAGTCACATGCTTTCCTCACCCTTCAGCATATATTTGAATGTTACCATAGCTTCTGGATGGCTTCTGAAACAACAACAAAAAATGCTGGCGTGCCTCTGAGGAGCCTTTGAAAAGCCCTCTGGGGAGCTTATGAAGGGCTTCTGGAAGGCCCCCGAGGTGCTTCTAAAGAGCCTCTCGGGGGGCTGGGATGGCCTCTGACGTGCTTCGGAAAAACCCCCGGAGAGCTTTTGAGGAACCTCTGGAGAGCTGCTGAAGAGCATTTGGAGAGTCGCTGGAGGGCTTTTGAAAAGGCTTCTGGAACGATTCTGGGGGGGTTGGAGGGCCCCTGGAGGGCTTCTGGACGGCCTCTGAAGGGCCACCAGTGGCATCTTTTCAATATTTTACACGGAAACATGGTCTCTGCATGGCCCTCGGCTATCGGGAGCGGATGAAGTCTGTGGGGTGTTACCCCGCTTCGAGGGCTCTTCGGGCATTTGGGGGGCCTCCTGGGTCGTATTGGGTCTGTCTTGGAGCGTTTTTGGGCCGTCGCGGGTTCTTTGGACCCTCTTGGCCCCTCTCGTGGCTCTTTGGTTTCGGGGAAACTCACGTGAACATGTTCGGGACATTTAGGCGCCTCCAAGACTTGGGCTGCGGGCTCCCCAATCGAGTGGTATCTGACATTCAGCATGGAGGACCTCAGAGGACCCTCCATTGAGTACCTCGCGGCACAGTGGCGAGTATCAAAGGTGACTTGCGAGCTAATTCCAGCCCAGGAACACGACTTCGTTGCTAATTCGGCTATGCGTGTGTATGTGTGTGTGTGTGATTATTCTCATCATTCGGTTCCGCCTCATTTCGCCTCCTTGGGAGGCTCTCGCTCACGAGTACGCGAGCTTTACCTACATTTTCAGCATGGTCGGCATCTGGTCTTATGCCATAAACTCGATGTGGTTCGTGGGCGTGCTCTGGTTCCTGATGACCCTCGGCACTGGCCTGGTGGGAGCGCGCGAGGGGAACATGCGCGTCATTCTCTGCGTCGAGACGTCCTGGGCAGGGCCTCGCCGTCGGGGCATTTCTCCTTCGGCGGTAGGACCGCCTGCGGAAGGCGGCGGAAGCAATATTGAGACATCCGCATACTTGGACTCGGGATTTCCAGAGTCGGCCATGGCCTTTCCTCGACTTCCTCTTCCTCCGCCTGCCCTTCGATACTGTGCATCTTCATACTTTCCCTGCTCTTCGTGCTCGTCCTATTACTGCCTGTTCTCATCGGATCCTGCGTTCTGGCAGGTCTCTTTCGTTGACGTTCTTCCTGTCGGCACCGTCGTCATCCTCATACTATCCTCGGTCTCGTACGCCTCCTCCTCCTCGTCCTCTTCGTTCCCCCTCTTTGGAGAACAGGCGGAGTAGCAGTCGATCGGCCAACCCGTTCGCTTTCCACGGGATCTGTTGAGACTCGAAGCCCAGTTGTTCTTGTTGGCGGCCCTGGGGACCGTGGAGGCCCTGGGACCTGGAGCCCATCTGTTGACTTGGCGGCCCTGGGCCCCGTGGAGGCCCCGAGGCCCAAGAGCGGCAAAACAGAGCCGGGACCCCTCTCCCCCAGGGCCTGTGCCCTTCGAGCCAAGCTGCTACGATGCGTACCTGGTTCCCTGGCATCGCTCGGACGCGTGCCTTTCTCCTCGGCGAGGACCATCGAGGACCATCCCGGACCCTCGAGCACAAAAAAACACGCACGGAACCGAAACATGCACGGGAAATGGACGTGCGAGCGACGGCAAGGTTCTGATCGGTTGCAAACCACAGAGCGCCGATCGAGCCGATTGCCCCACGGAAAGCTCGCGCTGGCGGCAGCCCGCTGCTCCCCCCTCTCCCCCAGCCCCTTTCCCCGGGCAGCTCCTCGCCCCATGGCTCGCTTGCGGTGGCCCTGGGGCCCGACGACGGCCGCCCAGAGGCCGACATCGAAGAGACACGTCCGGAGGGAACAGCGCACCATCGTCGGAGGTCTGCGCGCCCGGTGGCTCTCGGGGGCCATGCCTCGGGCCTCCGGGGGCCGTGCGGGGCGAGCCGGGCGCGAGGCGCAGCTGCGCAGAGGCAGCTCGAGCCAAGGGGAGCCCTCCCTGGGGGCCGACGGGGCCGGCCGAAGGCCTGCCCCGGGAGCCGGCGAGGGTGCCCGCTGCTCCCCAGGCGAAGGTCCTGTGCGTCGTGCGCCCCAACCAGAAGGAGCGGGCCCGCCTCGCGCAGCTCACCTCCAGGTGCCACGTCCTGCGCGGCGGCGAGTGGGTGGACGTTCAGGCTGGCGGCGCAGCCACTCCAGGGAGGAGGAGGAGGAGGAGGAGGAGGAGGAGGAGGAGGAGGAGGAGGAGGAGGAAGATGAAGAGGAGGAGGAGGAGGAGGAGGAGGAGGAGGAGGAAGTGGAGGAGGAGGAGGAGGAGGAGGAGGAGGAGGATGAAGAGGAGGAGAACCCTGACCTTCCTCGTGTCGCGGAGAAATCACCACGTTTTCGGGGCAGGTCCTAGCGAATCAAATGTTGATTGGCATCCGGCCCATCCCGCCACCGTGCCTTGGTTGTGGGTTGGGATGAGGACGGCAGGAGGATCATTGGTGACGAGGAGGAGGAGGAGGAAGAGGAGCGGGAGCACGACGGTCGTGAGGGGTGCGGAGGGATGGGGGCAGCGCCAAGGCCAGCGATATCGTCCTCCGCGACGTCGTTCGCATCGACGGTGGCGCCTCCGTCCTCCCGTGCGACGGCATCCTGCTGGAAGGTGCGGGGCGCCGCCGGGGGGGGGCTGCGCGCAAGCAGGGTGCCGCTCCCCCCACCCAGCCGGCCCGAACGCTGGCCATCGGGGGCCAACCGGACTGCCTAACACACAAACTTCCGGAGGTCCGGGCGGATCCCCGACAGTTTATGTCTATGCAGTTGTTTGTTCCCCGTGTGTCACCTCATTCCTTCCGCCCCGTGTCTCGGAGCTCCGAGGGCAAGTCGGAACGAGTGCGGCGTGGATCTTGGCTCAGCGTGTCTGTGGCTCCGCTGGTTCTGGCCCACCGCGCTTCGGTGCGACACGCTGTCCACGTCCCCATGCCAAGCGTCAACGTCCCGAACTGTTCCCAGCTTCCGCCCCGCGGAGCGGAGCGACACGCTATCCGCTTGCCAGGCATAGCGTGTCGCCAGGTCTGCCGCCGCGACACGCTAGGCCAAATTTCCTGACCGCATTTGAATCGGATCCATTTTTGATTGGTGGCCGAAGGCTCTCAGTAGAGCTCAGAAGCTCGCCTGCGCAGTTTCGTCATTTTGGCTCGCGTCGCGGCTGGTCCCTGGCCCCTACCTGATCCGCCTCCTCTTCCTCCTCGTCTTCCTTCTCCCTGAGATCGGGCAGTCGTAGCGCCGTCAACGTCCTTCTCCCCTCTTCCTGCCCGTGTGTGGGGCGTCCCAGAACCGTGGCGCATTCTGTATTTAGAAAACCTTGAACATGGTATTTGTGACATCCAGGTTTACGATCATCCTGAGGGGTGCATTCCTTTTGTCCAATGTGTCGAAACATTACATTTTCTGTTTATGGAGCCAACGATACTTGTGAGAGGTGTCGCGATTTGTTGAAGAACGGTGAAGAGCTATTATGTGTTTGAATTTGGCCTTTTTACGATCTTGGTGAGGGGTGCTCCTCTTGTATAGGTAGGCCTCCTTATTGCATAGTACGCGGTTGCTTTCACAGTGTTGGTTGTTTATAAACATTCCAAGTTCAATGCCATGCACCTGAGACCTTTTTCCGTTACGGTTGAATATTTAGTCGGCACCATGTGACGTCAAATTCGTTGTTATGGAATGCCTATCAGTCTCGGGATTTTTCATTGAAGGTCAACTGTAATCATTTGAACCTTGGACCTGGTTCATACTTAGTGCGTTCTTGTTTGGACCCCATTCAAATCCGATCGAAATCTTCAGTTGGGACCTGGTCCAATATTTATGTGATGTGAGGTGAATCAAATTCGAATCAAACTCAAAACTGGGATCTGGTCCATCCGAATAGAATTCCGATATGAATTTATTTGAAATCCAAGTGAAACCTTTAGAATATGGGGTCTGCTCGTTTCCTGATCGATTTTGTGTCTTGTTTGACTCCCACTCAAATCCGATCGAAATCCTTCAAGCTTGGAATCTCGACCATTGTTGTTGGATTTGTATTTGGACCCTCTTCCAGATTAGCTGAGATCATATGGTATCATATGGTATCCTTGTCCCCCCGTTGCATTTGCATATGTCCGTTGACATCTACACACATGGACATCGCATGCGCGGAATGGGGTGTGAGAGAACTGGATGGAAGTGGGTACGACAATTCTTGGGCGATTTGCTCCGCGTGAGAATGTCACGACAGGTAGTGGGGGGGGCGAAGACAACATATATTCCGGCGGGACGATCGTTTAGGCCCATCTACCTTTCCCAATGGAGCTCCCTCCTGCCAGCGCAGGTGAATATTCCACGCATCAAACAAACAGGCGGAATATCAAATCCTACGAAATAAACGCTTATACATTGTTCAGCTTAGTGGAAGAATGTTTGTCTTCCGTCACGGCTGCGCCACCGCTGCGCTTGGTTGTCTTGGTGTAGGAGCCTGCGGGGGAGGAGAGGGCCATCGCAAGTCTTGCGACGCTCTCGCCTGCATCCGCCGTGGCAGCATAAATGTCAGGAGGGAAAGAAACACACAGACACAATTAATCGGCGATTCCCAGAAAATATGGGAAAATATGGGAAGTGGGGGGGAAAACAAAAACCCAGAAAATATAGGAAAATATGGGGAATCCTTTTATTTGTGTGTATTTATTTGTGTGTCCTGGGGCCCCTTCAAAATGGGCCAACCTATTGTCGCGGCGGAGTAGTCGGAGATGTGGGCTTCGGCCCCTGACGAGAGAGTGGCGCTGGCCGCGCCGCGAAGGCGCCCTGGTGGTGGACGAGTCCACGCTCTCCGGCGAGCCGGCGCCCGTGCAGAAGCTGCCCGCGGAGCGCTCGAGCACGAGCGCGGCGCCGAGGTCCAGCCTGGCGTTCGCAGGCGCAGCGCGGCATCAGGGGCAATGTGGGGCAACACGAGGAGGAGGAGGAGGAGGAGGACGAGGAGGAGGAGGAGGAGGAGGAGGAGAAGGAGGAGGAGGTGGACGGCGCGGCGCGGCGCGGCCTCGCCAACGCTGGCGGGGCGTGCCAGGAGGGGCTCCTCGGGCAGCTCGCAGCGGGCCTCGCCGCGCGGGCCTCGCCGCGCCCGCTCGCCGAGGGGCGCGGGGGGGGACGCATCGACCCCTGATCGCCCATTGATCGCCGATGGGGGCCCGATAACTCCAATCCGCCCATGGTCGTGCGGATTTGCTGTCGGGTGCCGATTGCCAGCCTTTCGGCGATGCATCGCCGATGCCAGGTCGATGTTTCCCCCCGTAGGTTGGTCCCCCCCTAACGTTGCCCCAATCACAAGGCATGATTATGACAGCGTGGTGGCTCGTGGCATGGCGTTCGCAGGTCCGCGTGGCGTTCGCAAGCATCCGGGTCCAGCGTGGCGTTCGCAGGTCAACGTGGTGGCTCGTGCACAAGCGCCAGACACGTTTTCCTAATATTGTTGTTCGTTCTCTCGCGGAGCAGACGCTGAAGCGCTTCGCAAGAGTGGAACAGGACGCGATTGTCAGCGAACACAAGATCGCAAAGCTTTTTAACGATCGCATGGAACTGATGACATGAGGAAGTGCTATTGCAACCGGAATCTATCCCACCGATGGACGAGGTCATTTCCAACCCCCGTTGATTCAACAAGCGGAAGGCGCTGGGCGTGGGCCAAGTCGCCAGGGATTTCGCCAACGCAGCCCCCGAGCAGGTGGCCCGCGTCATCTACTCGTTGATCCTACGCATGCACTTCTGGGCAAGGGAACCGTTCGGAGCCAAAGGCTCAATGGCAGTCCCATTTCTCGGGGGAATCAGGCGGCCCGCTCGACGTCCAATGCTTCCGAAGCATCTGCCTGCACTCGCTCGTCATGAAGGTGCACCACACATGGCTCCGCATTTGGGTATTGCCTTTCGCCGCCATCTTCATGAAAGGCACCCACATTGGCGGCGTCCCGCGCAGGAGCTCCGAGCTTGCGTCGTTCTACCCACGCAGCTTCCTGCAATGGTGCAAGAAGCTGGGTGGAAGCGCAGTCGTGGAGATGTTGGATGTAAAATCGGCGTTTTACAACATGCTGCACCAGTTCCTGTTCGACCGCCCGAAGTCCCAGGAGGAGGCAGAGGAGGCGACGCCCACCGTGGAGACGCCCAAGGAGTTCCGGTGCATCACGCGGGAGCTGGCGGCCCAACCTGGCACCCTCACCGCCGCGATGAGCGGGGAAGATTGCAGCGCAGAGCTCGGGAAGCCACGCAGCGCATCGTGGTTCAAAGTGTCTGGAAGCGACAAGGGTGCTCAGCCAAGGAAGGGCGCAGGACCAAACAAGAAAATCGAGCCATACTGTGGAACCAGATGGATGCACACCTCGAGCAGGAAGAGGCGCTCGCCAATTGCCCGACGTTCAGCGTGTCTCCCAAATCCAACGTGGGGCGAGTGAGCACCAGGTGGGAGACGACGGCCGTCGACAACTGCCTCGACCTACCGCAGAAACCTGCCACGTTGGCCAACGCAGTCCACGACGCGTTCCTTTTCTTCGCTTGGCCACCAGCTACAAATACCAAGGCAAGACGGCAGCCCTATGCTCGCAGAGGGGCGCCCGTTCTAGGAAGGTGCGCGCGCGGGCGTTCACAAGCGGGCGGCCCGCGATCCACGCCCCAGGCGCCGAGCTCCTGGCCCACATCACCCAGAGACGCTGTCACCTCGAGTCCGCGCAGACAGACGACCAGACCACGTGGGTTCAGTCAGGAGCAGCAAGGTCAGAGAGAGCTGATAACGCTTCTCACAGTGGTACGCAATGCAAAGAAGTGACGACGGCAACCTCAGGTTAAGGCTACCACCCAAGTTTCATGATAAAGCCTGCCCGCAAGCCCAGAGGCTGTCGGACCCTACAGCAGATCAAGACTAGTGTTGGGCTGGCCAGATTAAGCTCGACATCCGATGGCCTCGGAGCAACGTCGCCTTCGACGCTGTGCACAGCGCAAATGCAGGGACGGATGTCTGACTGCAGTTGCGCGGAGAACAGCCATGCGCATGGATTGAGCCTGCGCAAGCAAGCCCGGGCCGGGCGCAAATGCTGGCGCGGCGACCAAGAACGCCTCACTGCATGGCCCCAGGTCATGAAGGCTGCAATCATGAAGCCGCAGCAGGCCCGTGCAGAGGGGCACGGCGTCTTCAATATGGCAAACACGCAAGACGAGGTTGAACATTGGGAAGGGCAGGACTTCAGCGACTTCAACGCACGCACAGCCAGGTACCACGCAACGCGCGACTCGGCAAAACGATTGAGCAGGAGGGACACATCCGCTCATTGCTAGCAGCACTTAGGCACGACAGTCCTGCCAAACGAGCCTCTTAGGGCGAAAAGCTGTCTCGGGCACGCCATGGGAGACATGCGGCCTCTCGCGGACGAGGAGACGATCGCCTTCAAGCAGGAGAAACATATGCAAACGGCAAGTCTTAAGAGGCAGGGCGCCAGAGGCACAAGGCCATGATCCCAGTGAAGCGCGCCACTTTTGAGGGCTGTATTGACGACGCCTGGCGACCGCAGGACTCTTATATTTCGCAGGAGTGGTTGATGCCAGGCAAGCGCTAGCAAGTTCCCCCGGCTCCAACCAAGATGGGGCAAGAAGACGCAGAGGTTGACGACCACCGGCAAAAAGCTGGACTGCAGCCGCAGCAGGACATCAGTCACCCGAGCTTCCACGCCGCCCATTAATTCTGCGGCAGGATGAGGGCGGGCGACGCCCAGTTCTACTTGGGAAGAAAGCTAGCTGGAGACCGCGCAAACATCTACGCGCTCAGCGTCGACATTCTTGACGGAGAGAAGCGAGACGTTGGCAGCCCCGAGGCGCGAGCATTCTGGTGCACCGCGAGCATCACACCAAGGCAGGCTGATGGCCTGGCTTGCCGGGCCATTCTGCGAAGGTGGCCCGCGGCACGCTTCAACATACATGAAGGCGTCCGCAAGCAGCCTCGCCCACTTCGAAGCGCAAGCGCGCTCCGGGGCCTTACGAAGGCAGGCGTGAAGGAATGCCCAGCTGCAGGTTGGCAACCTACTGTTCCACTTCACGCTCCTACTGGCGCAGATCTGTACCATGCCGGGCACCATGGGCATTGTTGAGCACCCAGGCCTCCCGGCATGGCACGCTACTGTTTGAGAACGCGGTGGAACGCGTTTGAGAGGCTCTGGCCGCAGCTAGGTGGCCAGAGCTCGGGCGGACGTTGCAAATAGAACTAGCATTTCGGCGGGGGGGGGCACCATTTGTCCGCCCACCGCCCTCCCCGGGGGCCCCACTCCCGCGGGGGCAGGGTCCGCTTCTCTCCCCTTTCTGTCTCCTCCCCTCCCCTCCTCTTGCTGCTGCTGGTGCGGTTTCCCTCCCCCCCTCCCTCCCCCCCCGTCGTCCCTCCCCTTTCCTTCTCCTCCCTTCCCCTCCTCTTGCTGCTGTTGTTGCGGTTTCCTTCCTCCCTCCCTCCCTCCCCCCCGTCGTCGTCGCCGCCGCCGCCGCCGTCGTCGTCGTCGTCGTCGTCGTCGTCGTCGTCGTCGGTTGTCGTCGTCTTCGTCGTCGTTGTCGGCGTCGTCGGCGTCGTCGGACGCGGTCCCTGCCTTCCTCGGGGTTGTGGCCCCCTCTGGGGGGGGGCGTCTGAGGCAGTGGCCTCCGTGCCAACTCGGGGCAGCCTGGCCGGCAGGGCGGTGGAGGCCGTGGGGGGCCCAGGGCGCTCGCCAGGAGTGCGCTTTCACTCTTCTCCCCTCCTGCCCCTCCCTCTGCCTTTCCCTCTCCCGTATTCAATGCACGACCCTGGAGCGGGTCGTTGCGCAATCGGGCCATTGGCAGTGCCGGCACATGCGTGCCCGCCTCCAAGCGCCCGTCGGCCTCCACCGGCCCTGGGGACGGCTACCGCTGCTATGTTTCGTACTGCTGGTTTTCTCGGCTCTACGTGCTCGCTTGTCTTTTAGGCTCGTGGGGGCTTCTGTGCGAGTGCCCCCTCCGACAATGCTCGGGGGTGCGGTCTACGCAGGCACGAGATTTTCTTTCTCTGCGGACGTTCGTCCGGCTGTCGCTCCCTCCCCGCTCGTCCCCCGTCCTCCTGCTGCTGCTCCTTCTTCTCCTCCTCCTTGTGTCCTCTGGTTTTAGTCGGGGTATTTAGTTCACGTGGTCTTCCACGGAGCTCGGACTCCCACGGGCTGCTGTTCTCGCCAGCCAGGCGGAGGCGGGCTCACAGGACCTTTGCGCAGGAACAATTGGTATTGTGCCTGGGCGTTTCTTCCTGCTGGCGTTCCCGCGCCATTTACGTGCCCTGTATAGTGCCATTTTGGCCGAGACGCTGTCTGTACAGCCTGGTCGATGCACATTTAGTTGTGCGCAAGTGGGCCCGTTGACTGTGCGTGGTGCTGCCGGTGTGGGGGAGTTGTTGAACAAAAAAACGCGGTGGAAGCAAACGAAGAGGCATATCACGTGCCATTCCGCAGTGCGCGCTGGGCGCCGAGACCACGAAACCAACGAGGCTGCTCATAGTCAACGCCAGCTACACAAAGCACCTGACCGAGCAGCTCCCCAACCGAGGACGCTGCGACCATTGCCGAGGAGAGTTCGCCAGCTACTCGGAGAGGACCAAACACAAAAACGTTTTTGCACTCTCGGGGCCAAACAAATACCCGATACGCATGAGACTGAGACGGCTCCTCGCCGATGGGCATCCAGCAGCACGTCGACAACAAGGTCCCCGTGCGCCACGAGAAGCCCGCGCTGCCAATCGCAGTGGAGCCTTTCGCGATCACGGAGGACGACATGTGGGCGGGAGCTGCAGGCGAGGACTTGACTGGCAGGGTCTTTTCGCGGCCCTCGAGGGAGCGGCGGGGCCTCCCCGGCCCCGATGCCCTCGAGGGATCAGGCGGCGGCGGCGGCGGCAGCGGCGGCCCCCCGCCGCGGCATGAGGGGCCCGGGGGTAGCGAGGCGTAGCGCCGTCGCTGCGCAATTGTCCCATGTCTCTCTCTCTCTCTCTCTCCCTGCGGTTCGGTCGATCGGGCTCCGAAGGCGTCGTCGAAACTAGGAGGAGGAGGAGGAGGAGGAGGCGGAGGAGGAGGAGGGAGGAGGAGGAGGAGGAGGAACAGGAGGAGGAGGAGGAGGAGGAGGAGGAGGAGGAGGAGGAGGAGGAGGAGGAGAGGAGGAGGAGGAGAGGAGGAGGAGGGAGGAGGAGGAGGCGGAGGAGGCGGAGGAGGCGGAGGAGGCGGGGGAGGAGGATGGGGCAGCGGGAAGGAGGGTGGGGCGCTGCGCCGCTGCTCCCGAGCGAGGGCCCAGCACCAAAGGGCGGCCGGGAGAGGCCTGGTCGCTCGGCATCGCTCGGACGTGTGTTTTTTTCCTTCGGCGAGGACTATCGAGGAGCATCCTTGATCATTTGGCGAAAAAGCCACGCACGAAACCGAACAAAGCACAGGGAATGGACGTCCGGGCGATGGCGAGGTCGAGGTCGGCTGATCCTGCCGCCCCCCCGAGGCACGACCTGCCTGCAGTCCGCCGGGCCCCGCGACGGTCGGGCCGTCATGTTGGCGACGGCGGTGGGCGCGCTCACGGCCAGGGGTCGGCTGGTGCGGGCCTCCCCGGCGCCTCCTGGCGTGCGGTTCAAGGGCTGCGACCAGCTTCCCGTGGTGTGCAGGGGCAACGGCTCGGATACGCTTCATAGGATGACGCCACAACCCACCCCGACTCCCGGCCAGGACCCCTGCTCCCGACCCGGAGATCTAGGGGATCCCTGTCGGGGGAGGTGGTTGTGTTTGAAGCTCTTGAGGGCAGGAGAACCTCCACCACCCCTTCCAGGACCCCTCGATCTCCAGGTCGGGAGTGGGGCCCTGGCTGGGGGTGGGGTTGGCTTGTGCTGTTCTCGTAAAAGTGGCTCTTCGCAGGAGTGACCTTTTGCGCGGGGCCACAAGGGTCCTTCCAGCATCTGCAGGCGCGCTCGGATGCGGCCCCTCTCGGCCCCGTGAAACCGTGCCGCGAAAGATCACACTTGCCTAGGGTTAAGTCGGGCGTGTCCTTCTACAGAGGGAGTAACTTCAAAAATAGTCTCACACACACACACACACACACACACACACACAAAAACAGTATGGGGACGATTTGTTGTTTTACCGTCTTTGTTGTTGTTTTTGTTTTGGAATATGTTTGGGGGTACTTTTGATTTGTCATCCAAATCCGCCTGCAGTGGGACAGGCCTGACCTGAGCCTAGGGTCACTCTTGCGTGTAGCTGGACGACAGAAGGGGGGACAGGCCGCAGACATGTGAAAGAGCGTGTTCTACCGCTGCTGGCGGAAAACCGGAGGGGGTCATTACCTGTTCGAACCCCTTCCCCCCCCCCCTCTGGAAAACCGGGGGGGGTCACTACCGGTTCGAACCCCTCCCCCCCCCCCCAGTTCATCATGAAAAGGGGGGGGGTCATTACCGGTTCGAACCCCCCCCCCCCTCGAACTCGAAAACCGGGGGGGGTCACTACCGGTTCGATCCCCCCCCCCCTCGAAAACCGAGGGGTGGTGCGGACAGTGGTGGGGACGGTGGTGGTGGGGACAGTGGTGAGGGGACACCACCGTGGGACAGTGGTGGGGACGGTAGTGGTGGGGACAATGGTGAGGACAATGGTGGGAACAGTGGGGACAGTGGGACAGTGGTGGGGACAGTGGTGGTGGGGACAGTGGTGTGGGGACAGTGGGAATGTGGTGGAAACAGTGGGACAGTGGAGGGTACAGTGGTGGTGGGGACAGTGGTGAAGGCGGTGGCGAGGACGGCGGTGGGAAAATGGGACAGAGGTACAGTGGGGACAGTGGTGGGGACAGTGGGGACAGTGGTGGGAACAGTGGGACAGCTCAGTGGGACAGCGGAGGAGTCAGTGGGACAGTGGGGACAGTGGGGATAGTCGTGGAGAAAGTTGGGAGAGTGGAACCGTGGTGGGAACAGTGGTGGGGACAGTGGGGGACAGTGCGACAGTGGTGGTGGCACTGGTGGGGACAGTAGGGGCGGTGGTGGAACCAGTGGGGACAGTGGTGGTGAGGACAGTGGCGCTGGGAACAACAGTGGGGGATGTGGTGAGGACGGTGGTAGGGACCGGGAGTCGTTTGCTGGAGGTGAGAGGGAGGTGGGGAGGGGTTCGAACCGGTACCCTCCCCCCCCTCCGGTTTTCGAGGGGGGGGGGGGGTTCGAACCGGTAGTGACCCCCCCCGGTTTTCGAGTTCGAGGGGGGGGGGGGGTAGGGGAGGGGGGGGGGGGTTGCCGGGGGAGGGGGGGGGGGGGGGGGGGGAGGGTCCAGCAGGGGGGGGGGGGGGGGGGAACCCCGGGTTCCAGAGGAAAAGGGCGGCAATTTTCCACAGAGAAGCGGCGGTGGATCACGCTCTCTCAGACATGTTGGCGATGTATCGCCGATCCGAAGTTCATGTTCCCCCCTTCAGCCAGCCTCCCACTATCGTTTTCTTTCAGGTGTACGCGACGCTGGGCATCTACGCCATCGGCCTGTTCGTGGTCCATGCCTTCTACCTCAACGCCAGGAGCTGGATCACAATGTACATGCAGCTGCTGAACATCGTTGCCATGTGCCTCAACCCCATGCTCCCTGTCAGCCTGGCGATGGGCCAGTCGCTGGCCGCCGCGCGCCTGCGCGGCAGGTGGCAGATCAACTGTCTGCAGCCCTCCCGCATCCCCGTCGCTGGAAGCGTGTCCACGATGGTCTTCGACAAGACGGGCACTATCACGGAGGGCGGGATGGACTTGGACAGCGTCATCGACGTGCAGGACCGGTGCTTCGGAAGGCGCTACAAGTTGGGCGGGTGCCCGTCGGGGCCGTCCGCCGACGCGGGTGCCGTCGGCCACGAGCTGCCTGCGCACGCGCGCCGGGCGATGGCCAGCTGCCACGCCGTCGAGGCCTTGGAGGACGGCACGCTGGTGGTCACCACCCACCAAACCACCCCAACCCAACCCGAAGGCTCAGATTTACCCTCGATTTCCAGTGGGGGGGGGGTCGGGAAACGTCGAAAAAACACGTGTGGAACCCTTACCCCCCCCAACCCGAAATTCGGGTCTTCGGGTTGGGTTGGGGTGGTTTGGTAGGTAGTCAGGTGGGGAGCCAGTTGGAGGTGGCCATGGTCCGCGCCTCCGGCTGGCAGCAGGTGGGCGACGCCAAGAAACGGTTTCGATTGGCTGGGCATTCGCGTACGGACTGGCCGCGTGAGGTCGCGCCGCGCGCAGGCGCCTCCGTTTCCGGTGTGGCGTTTCGAGCTGGTGGCCCGCGCAAGCCGCGGCTGAAGGTCCCATCGCGCGTGAGACCCAATTCTTTCTGCCGCCCAGGTGGCGCAGGGCGTGGTCCGCTCCGCGAACGGGAAGGAGTCGCTCGAGGTGCTGAGGCGCCTGCGCTTCGACGACAGGAGGGCGCTGAGCGGCGCGGTCGTCCGCTGCCCACGAACGAGGGAGAGCTACGTCTACCTCAAGGGCAGCCACGAGGCGATCCAGGCGGTGGCCACGCCCTCGTCGACGCCCTCGGGCTACGCAGGGCTGGCCGAGCACTGCGCCAAGGATCCGGCACGAAGAGAACGGGCCTGTGAGGTTTTTCTATGCTTTGGCCCGCCCCGGGCCCTCACGTGCCCCAGGACCCTCTGAGAATGACTCAGGAGAAGAAGGTGGTCCTGGAGGCATGGCACGGGGTCCAGGACCGTTCTCTGTGCTCCATGCCGGAAGGATGGGTTCTACACCTTGGGCCTAGCCATGAAGTGCTTGCCCCTCAACCTGTCGAGCCAGCACATCGCGGACATGCCGCGGAGCTCTCTGGAGGCCAACGTCGGCGTTTGTGGGCTTCTGCTCTTCCGGAACGAGGTGAGGCCCGATTCATCCCAGGTCTTCAAGGATTTGAGACAGGGCTCGATCCGATCGGTCATCTGCACTGGAGACGGCGCGCTGACGGCGATCTCTGTCGGCAGGCGGTCTGGCGTGGTCACCACATCTGTTGTGCTATTGGGAGACGTTCGCGACGACACCCTCCTATGGAGCGACCCATCGAAGAAGAAAAAGCAGCACAAACAGAAACTTTTGGCGCTCCCAGCGGATTTCTTGGCTCTGTGCTGGACCCCCCCCGGCGGCGCCTCCGCCCCTGGCGCACTCCGCGCGCCAGGGAGGGGGGTCCAGCACAAAGCCAAGAAGCCCGCGCAGAGCGCCAACGGTGTATGCTTATGCCGTTGTGTCTTCTTCAGACCCAGACTCTGGGAGCTCTTGGGACGCGGACGCCGTGGCCTCCTCCGACTGCCAGCTGGCCGTCACCCGGCCGGCCTGGAGATACCTGCGCGAGCGCGGGGCGCTGCTCGAGCCGCTGTGGACCAGGCTCGTGGTGCTGGCGAGGACGTCGGGGCAGAGGCTCGGACAGGAGGGGGACTGGTCCAGGGAGGAGGAGGAGGCGGAGGAGGAGGAGGAGGACCCCCCGCCCTGTCTCGTGGGCGGAAGACACATGCGCCTCCAGGGCCTCACGGGCCAGTGGGCCAGACCCCTGGGCCGCGATGCCCCGCGGAAATACGGGGGTGTTTTTCTCCGCAGAGGCCCCGCGGGGAGCGCAGCCGTGCGACCGCGCATCCGCGGGGCCGCGACCCGGAGTCCGGACCGCGAGGGCGCGGGCAGGGATGTGTTGGCCGCTCGTGGCTTCGCGCCCCGTCAGGATGAGGCCCGACGACAAGGCCAGCGTGGTCAGGTATCTCCAGAGCCGTGGCCTCGTCGTGGGCATGTGCGGCGACGGCGGCAACGACGGCGGGGCTCTGCGGGCCGCCGACGTCGGCCTGGCCCTGTCGGACGCGGCGGCCTCGATGCCTCGAGGCCTCGACGGCCTCGGCTTCTCCGCGGCCGGGGGCGCCGAGTCCCCGGCGCTGGTGGTGCACCTCATCCGGCGACTGCCGAGGGCGTGGCCACGCCAGTGGTGTGGCCAGCGAGCTGCGCCGCCTGGGGCGTGACGGGCGCGACGAGGGGGGGCGAGCAGCCCAGGCGCGGGCATCACGCGCATTCGCCAGGAGGGCCTCGCCGAAGGCATGGGCCATCGGCGCCACCTGGACAACTGCACGTGCTGCTCTCTCCGCGGGGCCGTCCGCCCCCCTCGTCGTCCCCGAGCGCTGCCCTCGTCGGGCCTCCTCGGGGCGCGGCGGGGGCCTCCGTCGAGGTGTGCGCCCGCTCCCCGGGGTGCGCGCTGCAGGCCACAACCTCTGGCGAGCCACCCCCGTCGCAGTCGCCGACCCATCCGCGAGGGGAGGGCTTGCCTGGCCACCAGCCTCGCCACCGTCCAGTACTTCGTGGTGCACGCGCTGGCCACCACCGGCATCGGGACGGCGCTCGCGGTCTTCGGGCAGGGTCTGTTGATGATCCACAGAGCGTGTGTTGGTGCCAACGCGTGCTTGTCTACCGAGGCCCTCAACACGACACAGGCGTCTCAACGATGGCTGGCACAGGGTGCGCGCTGTCGGCGGAGACGAACGGGGTAAACACACGCTTTGGCCAACACACGTCCTGAGGACCATCAAGCCGAACGGGCAAGGAAAGGCACGAAGACCGACAGCAGATCCCGCCCTTTCTGAACAAGTCTCGCTGTCGGTGTCGCCGCGGACGTGTTGTTCATCGTGCAGTCGCCTGCCCACAGCGGCCGCTGCAGGTTTTGGACAGCCCTCGCTTTGGGGCATCCTGCAATCTGTTCCGTACACATTTCGGCCGTTCAAAGGTCAGGGGCAACGATAGGGGTGGATAGGCATAGGGGGGGATGAATCGACCCCCAATCGCCTACTGATTGCCGATAGAGGCCCGATAGTCCCAACCCGCCCAGGAAGGTGCGAATTCATTATCGGGGGCCTATCGCCGATCTATCGGCGATCTATCGGCGATTCCAGGTCGACGTATCCCCCCCTACGCCAGTCCCTCCCTATCGTTGCCCCTCAAAAGATCTGGGAGGGGATCGGCCTCGGGGATTTCGCGTGGCTGGTCGTGGACGTCGTCATCGGCACCCTGATGGCCGCGGCGATGACCTGGTCGGGCCCCAGCGACAGGCTGGGCGAGGCTATGCCGGCGGCAAGCCTCCTCGGAAGGAGGACCCGGCCTCGCCCAGACATTCTCCTTCGATTTGTGCGCCGGTCCCGCAGTGGCGACGCGCACATTGAACAATCCTACAGTGTACAGTTACCCCGCATATCGAAGAAGAGAAACCGCCATAAAACATAAACTGTTGGCGCTCCGCGCGGATTGCCTGGTTCTGCGCTGAGGCCCCCCCAAGCGGCGCCTGCGGCGCTGGCCTTGGCGCCCTCCGCGCGCCAGGGAGGGGTGCCCGGTGCAGATCTGAGAAATCCGCGCTGAGCGCCAAAAGTTCATGTCTATGGCTTTTTTGTCGTAAGGATGGGCAGCCTTCCCAAGTCAGCGAGCGAAGAACGGTATAAAATAAACTTTTTCGCTGTCGGGGGCGCCTGTCCCTGGGCGGCTGGAAAGTTTATACCCCTACGGTGCCACCGTAAGGGTATAAACTTTCCAGCCGCCCAGGGACAGGCGCCCGTTAACCAAGGGTACCCTTGCATCCTTGCCTCCTCGGTCACTCCTTGGCCACTTTCGCTCGCCGCGCCCCGCGCGAAGAGCTTCGAGGTGGGCGTCCAAGGCCCTTGCATCCATGTCGCTCAGGATCCTTCATGATTCAGGAGGGAAGGAAACACACAGACACCACGAATCGTCGATTCCCCAGAACATATGGGAGACTATGGGAAGTGGGGGGACAGACGAACATCCAGAGAGCGTGGGAAAGCATGGGGAGTCCTGCTATCTGTGCGTACTTATTCGTGCGCCCCGGGGCCCACGGGCCGACTGCAGCTCAGGGGCAAAGCCAAGGGGGGGGGGACCTGGCTCCGGGGGGGGCAGGCATCGACCGCCCGCCGCTCCTCTCTCGCGCAGCGCGGGGCCCGTGCTCGCGCCCCGCCCCGCCCCGCCCAGGGCCGCGTGGCTCTGCGAGGCCGCCCCAGGCGATCGCCGCATGGATCAAAGGGGCGCGTGGCGGGGCGAGAGCGGGGCGGGAGCGGGGCGAGAGGGGGGGGGCGGGGCGTGGAAAGCAGGGCGGGGGGGGGGAGGCGGGGAACCACTGGGGAAGGGGGCGTGGATGTGCGACAGATCCCGCTTCCATGGGAAGTCGCGGATGTCCGCCGTCGAACGAGGCGGATGTCCGCCGTCGAACGAGGCGGCACTGGCCGCATTTTTGGGGAGGGCCCCTGCCCCGATCCATGGATTTGGCGACCGCGCGCCGAATCCATGGAGCGCTCATGCATGTTTGCGCGCCCCCGATCGATGTCTGATCGCAGATCTACCGCTGGCAATGCGTCGCCAGTCCCAAGTCCACTCCCGCCCAGAGCCAGCCCCTCACCCTGTCGCTCGGGAGCCTTGAGACGGGGATCGTCCTCCTCCTCCTCCTCCTCCTCCTCCTCCTCCTCCTTCTCCCCCTATCGCTCGGGAGCCTTGAGGCGGGAGTTAGTGCAAACGGGGGTCAGTCAAAGTGCCCGGCTCTTGCAGAATATCCTGCAGAGCCAGGGGCGCACTGACCTGGGCTTGGGCGCAGGCTCTTGCAGGATCCTGCAGGGTATCTTGCAGGACCCTGCAAAGCCTGACTGACCCGGGTCTGGATTGACCCAGGTCAGTAGATCTAGGCCTCCAAGATGCGGTCGGAGTAGATGGGGTCGGAGGATCGCGCCGCATTGCCGCTGTATCGGCGATGCGGCTCGATGTGGGACCCAATTTTCTCCGCGCCGATGTCTTGGATGCATCGCCGACGTCGACCATGCATCGCCAGTGCATCGCCGATGCATCGGCGATGTATCGGCGATGCGGCGCGATCCTCCGACCCCATCTACTCCCAACCCCTCTGGGAGGCCTCTGGTAAACCACCGAATCCTTCCCCCATCGATGGCGTCCGAGGGCGGGCGCTTTCTTGCGACGCTGCCTGGGCGGCGGTGTGCTGCGCTGTGCCCGCCCCGGCTGGGCGCGAGCCTCCGGGGGGCACGCGTCGTGCGCGCGCGGGCGCCCTTCGCCCCGAGGACGGCGGCCGCCGCGTTGTTCCCCTGCGCCACCGCGCTGGTCGCGCTGGCTGCGGGCTTCGCGCTACTGTGGAGCAAGGCAGGGCGGCGAGATCCAGACACGAAGCGTTCGGAAGCTCGAGGACGAAAGGACACGCCATAAACAGAACTTTTGGCGCACCGTGCGGATTTCTTGGATCTGCGTTGGACCCCCCTCCCTGGCGCGCGTAGCGCGCCAGGGGCGGCGCCTCCGGCGCCGCCGGGGGAGCCCAGCGCGGATCCAAGACATACTTGCGGAGCGCCACAAGTTTACGTTCATGGCTGTTCGTCTTCTCCTAGAAACGAGCCTCGCCTTCGAGGGTCGAAGGAGTTGTCATCTCTTCCTCTGCGGAAGGCGGCGGGAGGCCCGCGACAGGCCCGCGGAACTAGAGCGGGGGCGGCTCCGCCGGCGAAGGGCAGGCGGAAGCCGGCAGAAGTAACAGGCTCGCCCCAGACCCTGCGGGGCTCCGGGTTTCCGGAAGCGGCCACATGTCCACCGCCTCTGGCCAGGCCCACCCTGGGCCCAGGAGGTGCGCGTGCCTCCCTGGCTTGGCCAGGGGAGCGCACACACGCCGCTCTGGGGCCCAGGACGGGCCTGGCCTGCGGGTGAGGGCTGTGCGGATCTCCTCGCCCCACAAGGGCTGGTACCGCAGGCTCAATCCCGTCGCGGACCTCGGGCTCGACGAGAGCCAGTGGTGGCTGAGGCCGGCGGCGCGCGCGCGCGGGGGGGGCGCGGGAAGGGGCCGCCCGCGGAGGACGCCGGAAAGCGGGTCTTTCTGCGAAGGCGGGCGCCTTCTTGAGAGCCCGCCCTGGCCTCTGGGAGGCCGTCTTGGATGCCTCCGGGCCCTGCTGAGGCAGAAAGCCCCCGTCCTGCCAGATGCCCCCCCCCGCGTAAGGAGGAGGAGGAGGAGGAGGAGGAGGAGGAGCAGGAGGAGGAGGAGGAGGAGGAGGGGACGAGGACGAGGAGGAGGAGGAGGGAGGAGGAGGAGGAGGATGAGGAGGAGGAGGAAGGAGGAGGAGGAGGAGGGAGGGGAGAGGGGGAGGAGGAGGGAGGAGGAGGAGGAGGAGGAGGAGGAGGAGGAGGAGCAGGAGCAGGAGGAGCAGGAGGAGCAGGAGGAGCAGGATAAGGAGGAGGCGGAGGAGGCCCCCCCGCGTTCTCTGAGGGCCGCCCGCCTCGCGCCATCCCCTCGTGGGTGCCTCCGGCCAGGGGCGACAACTACGACGCGCCTGTTGGGCTCGTCGTGCTGCTGCTCGCCCTGGCCACCACCGCCTTCGTGAACACTTACGGGGGCAGCTTCCGCCAGAGCGTCCCTGGCCTAGATTCCCAGACTCGAAGAAGAACAAATACCATAAACAAACAAAAATCGACGATCCGCGCGAATTTCTTGGATCTGCACTGGGGCGCCCTGGCGGCGCCTCCAGCGCCGCCCCTGGCGCGCTCCGCGCGCCAGGGAGGGGGGTCCAGCGCATATCTAAGAAATCCTGCGCGGAGCGCCAAAAGTTTATGCTGATGCCGTTCTTCCTTCCTCTACCGACCGCCTCGAGTTATGACAAACATCAAGACGGCGGTGTTTCGTTCTTTTCGGCCTCTGGGGGCCCCTCGCCGGGCCCCGGGACCGTCAAAGAGCGACTCAGGATGAAAAGCTGGTCCTGGGGAACGAGTCGAGACTTCCAGGAACCCCGCATCGACAAAATCACGGCATCGAATCTCTGGGTTGGAGGCCCCGCTCTGTCCACCAGGACTCGGTTTGGCGGGCGATGGGAGCGGAGGGTGGCGGTTGGATCAAGAACAGCCCGGCTCGGGTAGCCCGGATCGGGGTGGAGGGGCGGCAGGTAGGGGAGTGGGGCGGGGATGAGAGGGGGGAGGTGAGAGAAGAGCGGAGAGGGGGGAGACGGGAGGGAGAAGGAAAGTGGAGGGGGGACGCGGGGCGGAGGGCACAGGCAGGAAGAGGAGGGCGGGGAGTTGGAGGGAGAGGAGGAGCAGACAGAGGAGGGAAAGGTGAGGCCAGCTCCGCCAGTTCTGGCCCACCACGCCTGGACGCCTCGCGCTTCCATGTCTCAGTCCCCCACGTCAGCGTTCCGAGCATTTCCCAGCCTCCCGCCCCGCGGAGCGGAGCGATTTGCGAATTACCCGAGCAAGCGCCAGCAGCAACGCCCACAAAAACGCTCGGGAGACAAACATACAGGCTTGGGACCCAACCTCGCCCGCATCAGCGGGCGCGCGGTCCAAGCTCCCCCCCCCTGGAATTCTAAACGGGCTTCCGCCTGCGGGGGAACCCATGGGGTGATCCATTCCTTTCATTGGAATTTGATGAAGGACAGTGGATGGAGTCTGGTTTGGGAAATTCTGCTTGGAACGTTCTCGAATTCTGCCTGGATTGGCCACCGGTTTGGCCGCGCGCCCCGCCTGAGACGTCCTCAACATTTGCTTGGTTTGGGCCGTGGTCTGGCCTGGCTTCGGCCCTGTTTCGCTCGCGACGTCTTCAGAATTTGCCTGGGTTCGCCCTGGTTTGGCATGGTTTGGGCCCAGTTTCGCTGGAGACGTCCTGAAAGTTTACGTGGGCCCAGTTTCGTTTGAGACGTCCTCACAAGTTGCCTGCTTTCTCCCTCGTTTGGCATGGTTCCGGCTCCGTTTCGTTAGGGACGTCCACACTTTGCGGTGGTGATTCGGGCTGGCCTACTGCACAGAAGGAATGATCGAATGCTTGTGCTGCTTGGTAACATCCGTTATGGTCGCCATGCACTCTCAACACAGCGGGACGCGTCAATTTGTTTGGACACTGAACGGTTAACTGGTACGCGTCGTGGTGGGCGTCCGCAAGTCGAAATGGCACGGTTGCATGCATACCAATCGTGATCCACGTGCAGCACGGCTGCGCAACAACATGGCGGGCGGCATGGGTGAGGACATTCCCAACATGTTGTGGATCGGCATCGGCGGTGTGGCGGCGTTCGGAGAAAACCTTCCGATTATGTAGCTTGCTGTTTCAAGAACGATTGAACTTGTCGTTGAATAGAGGAATCGAAAAGGGCATGCAGTCGGGAATTTATGGATCGCGTGTCGCTCCGCCAGTTCTGGCCCACCACGCCTCGGTGCGACACCCTATCTCATTTCGCGGTCCCGAGGCGTCCACGCCCCGAGATGCTTCGAGCTTCCCGCCGTGCGGAGCGGAGCGGCACGCTGTCCGCTCGCAAGGCATAGCGTGTCGCTGGGGTCGCCGCAGCGGCACCATATCCAAAAGTTCTGCCCCCCCCCCCCCAAAAAAAAACGATCCAAAAGTTTTGCACGCGCGCATAATATGTTAGGAGGTCCGCGCGGATTTCTTAAGTCGGCGCTGGACCCCCTGGCAGCGCCTCCAGCGCCGCTCCTGGCGCCCCGCGCGCCAGGTGTGGGGGGGGGTAGTCCAGCGGCGGTCAAGGGCATCCGCGCGGACCTTGGAAAGTTTACGCTTATGCAGCTGTGAGTTCTCGTTCTTTCGTATTACATGTTCACGGTCTGAACGTGCTCCGCCGCGCGCGGCTTTCTCACCCCCCCGTGCCACTTCCTTTTTGTCCCTTGTGCTCAATTCGAATCGGTTCCGATGCATCTCTCGGTCCTCGGCTGTCTGTACCGCTTCTTGGACTCAAGTTGAAAGCGTTTTCTTCTTCTGTTTCTAGAACCCCCTGCAGAGAAAACTGGCCGTTCAGATAAGACGGGGAAATCGAGGATGCACCCAAGCGTGCAAAGCAAGTTGGGGAGAGGGTCGCCATCGCCCCGGGTACGCCCACTTCTTTCTCGGGCGGGGTGCTTGGGCGCTCTGCTCGCAGCCATCAGCTCAGCTCTTGTCTGATCCTCTCTCCCACCAAGCGGCCTTGACCTTCGAGTGTCGAGGTTGTTGGACTTTTTGCGGCTACAGGGGTGCTATTCGTCGCCACGGCTAGAACCGCCTCGAGATTCTGGCCAGGATGCACCCAACCGTCAGTCCAGGGGTTTGCCCACGAGCTCATCTGCGGTCGGGAACTTTGCCACCGCCTGTCGTTCCTCCGGTTCTGGGCCACCACGCTTCGGCGCGGCACTCTGTCCGCCTCCCGGCCCCTCTGTCCGCCACGCCTCAGCGTCAACGTCCCGAGCGTTTACCCCCCCCCCCCTTGAACGAAGGATTGCAAAAAAAACCCGGGTTTTTTTTTGCAATCCGTTTTTTTTTTTTGCAATCCTGGGTTTTTTTTTGCAATCCTTCGTTTTTTTGCAATCCTTGGGTTTTTTCGCAATCCTTCGCGAAGCGGAGCGACACGCTATCGCTTCGCAGGGCACGGCGTGGCGCCGGGGCCGCCGGGGCGACACGCTGTCCAGGTCGAGGCGTCGAGGCAACGGCGAGGCGGCCAGCCTGTCGCCCATCTCCGGCCCCGGAGGCTGGCCTCGGGGTCCAGGGGGAGGAGGAGGAGGGAGAGGAGGAGGAGGAGGAGGAGGAGGAAGAGGAGGAGGAGGAGGAGGAGGAGGAGAAGGAGGAGGACGAGGAGGAGGAGGAGGAGGGAGAGGAGGAGGAGGAGGAGGAGGAGGAGGAGGAGGAGGAGGAGGAGGAGAAGGAGGATGGAACGACACCGAGGCACCGGATGTCCGGGTCTAGTGAAATTGTTTTTTAATGCCTGGCCATAACCCGGGTTCCCAGACCCCCTCGAGTGATGGAAAAGTCACGGCGGCAAGTGTTTGGCCATTTTCGGCCTCTGGGGGCCCTTTCCAGGCCTCGGGGCTCCAGATTAATGGGGAGCCTGGGAAGACGGAAGGAGTGGTGCTCTTTATTGGGTATGGGGCGGCGCGCATGCTTCGCGCTCTCACCCGCCCCGACGGCCGCTACCTCCCCGTCCCTTCTGTGAACGGCCTCCCAGCCCAGAAATTAATTTTAGTTGATTGGTACAAGCATTTGGGCGGAATCGTCCACATCGATCGGGGATTAGGGGTCGACGCGACGCACAAGGCCCAACAGGCCCTCCATACGTACGGCCCCATAGCCCACCGAGTCTTTGGGAGCGCCGTCGTATGCGACTGGCTGAAGTTCTCCTTGTTGCAGTCGGTGATTCTTAGCCGTCTCTTGCATTATGCTCACATTGTGATGCCGACCAGAGGGTCTATACGCACTCCCCAAAGCCCCTACATGCGAGTGCTGAGGAAATGTGCGACGACAGTCGATACAGGAAGCCAGGATTTTCTGACCTAGAAGTCCGACGTCGTTTGCAGCAGCCGTCGATCGATTGCATCTTGCGGCGCGCTAGGCTCAGGTACGGCGCTTGTAAGAAACAGGCCTGCCGCTCTCCTCGCCCTCCTGGGCGATAGACCCCATGCCAAATTGAGGGCCGGACAGAGGCGTGGCGAAGAGAAGCGCTTGCCGTGGGCCTATCTTTTCATCAGCGAAGCGACCTCGCCTGGCTTAGGGAACATTCGTGCGTGCCCGCTTTCTGGGACCTTCCTGATCCAGCTGTCTGTGCCGAGCCTTGGTGCGAGCAAATGGCTTGTGCCATGTGGGATGATCGCGTATCGCTGATTTTCTCTTCGAGTCTATCGCCGATCCCCCTTCCAAGTGCGGCGCCGCCCCGCTCCAACCTTTTGAGTGCGAGATGTGTCATGCCTCATTTGCAACTTATTGTGCGCTCGCATCGCACCAGACGTCGGCACATAAGAAGCGCAGGGCATTCAAGAAGTACGTGGGTGATACGTTCACTTGCCCGGTGTGCCGGCATGTGTACTCTAGTCGTCTACACTTCCTTAAGCATCTTGCCAGGAGCAGGTGTGGACCTCAGTTAACCGGTGGCAGCTTCAGAAAGCCGCCACTACTAGCGAAACGGCTGCGAGCAGAAGCCCGTGACCTTGCCTTCCTTGTCCATGCTTGGTCTACTTAGGCGTAGCGAAAGTATCCTTGGAAACACGGAAGACCTCCAGACGACCCAGACAGGATGCCTGGGCGGCCCCATGGCCCCAAGATGGTTCTGCGACGGCCTCAGACGGGCACGAAGATGACCTCGGGGCGACCCCAAGAAGACCCCGTGGCCCCTGCAGGATCCAGACGCAGCGTCGAAATGGCCTTGGGGCGAATCCAAGATGGCTCAAGATGTGAGCGATGCCCTGGAGACCAGGCGCGGTGGCCCCAGAGCGACCCCGAGGTGGCTGGAGCTTTCCCAGAGCACAACACCATAATCTTGAGATGACCTGGAGATAATTTCAAGATGACCTCGAGACGACCCGAACACGTCATACATTGGCGGGATTGGGCCCCACCGCGGGATTTATCCGGAACCTACTTTTTGTGATGGGATTTATGGTTGGCTGGACTAAAATTATATAACAATAAAGGGGAACTACTCGCCAATAATCCCGCCGAGACCACGCAAGAGGGCTATCTTGCCAGGCTCAAGGGGGGGAAGGGGGTTCAACGCATACTGCTCCTCTACCCCGTCGGGGCCGTTGCCAAGAGGGGTGCAACATAGGCGAGCACACAATGCCATCGGGCCCAATTCAGAAAATTCAAGGAACTCTCGGAGCGGCGATGTACGGGCCGAAGCTGGCTCAAACAAGGCGACCGCCTACCGAGCTCGCACTAGTTAGTGCATGCTCTGTTTCATCCGTTATAGTTGCGCCGCCCATGCTTTGGGAAAGAAAGGCCTCGGGACTGGCAAGAAACAGCTCAGGATGAAAAACTGCTTCCTGAGAATGGGTCGAGACCTCTGGGGGTCGACGTCATGAAGAAAACATGACGTCTGGGGCCAGGGTTAGTGGGCCACCCGCACCCCCCTCCTCCAGGATGAACCTCCAGGATGAACTGACCTTGTCGGTTGCGCAGGTCCGCAAGGGGTACGCAGCACTGGTGCGCGCGGGCATGCGTGGAGCTGGCCAGAACGAAAAAATTAGGTTTCCGGCCAGCACCTTCCCCCCCCCCACACTGGATAACCCGGGTTGTCACCGACAAGTAGAGGCGACCTCTCATTTGCTCCTTCGTCCTCCGTTGCCTGGCTGCTGGCACCGAGACACAGCCGACGGCGTGTGCCTGTCCAGTGCGCTTGCCCCCCCCCGCTGGCGACCCCGTCGCGGCTGGGCCGCAGCCTGACGAAGGCCTCCAATGCCTGTGCTTGCCCCCTGCCGTTCGCTCCTCCCCTCCGCGGACGCCCTGCCCCTGCCCAGAGATCCGATGTCGTGTTTTTTTCAATGCGGGGTCCTTGGAAGTCCCGGCTCATTCCCCAGGACCGGCTTTTTATCCTGCGTCGTTTTTTGGTGGTCCCAGGGCCCGGCGAGGGCCCCTCGCAGCCCAAAATAGCGAAAAGCCTCGCGCCGTTTTTTTTGTTCCTCCATGATTCGAGGGATTCCAGGGTGTTTGCACCCCTGCCTTCGCTCCTCCCCTCCGCGAGACGCCCTGCCCCTCCTGCTCTCGATTCTTGCCGGGCTCGATGTCCGCTGCTCCGCTGCTCCCTGAGCTGCTCGACCGGCCCCGCGCGCTCGCCGGGCCTGCGGCCAGAAGCTTGATGGGCTGATTGTCCACCACCACTACCACAGGTAGGAGAGGGAAGAGGAGGGGGAGGAGGAAGAGGAGGAGGAGGAGGACGAGGACGAGGAGGAGGAGGAGGAGGAGGAGGAGGAGGAAAAGGAGGAGGAGGAGGAGGACGAGGAGGAAAAGGAGGAGGAGGTGGTGGAGGAGGGGCACGGAGAATGGGGAGGAGGGAGGAGGAGGAGGGGAGGAGGAGGAGGAAAAAGGAGGAGGAGGAGGGAGGACCAGGAGGAGGAGGAGGAGGTGGTGGAGGAGGAGGAGGATGAGGGAGGAGGAGGAGGGGAGGAGGAGGAGGAGGAGGAGGAGAGGAGGAGGAGGAGGGGGAGGGGGAGGAGTAGGGGGGGAGGTGGGGGAGGAGGTGGGTGGAGGAGGTTGGCACATTGGGGAGGAGGGGAGGAGGAGGAGGAGGAGGAGGAGGAGGAGGAGGCGGAGGCGGAGAGGAGGAGGAGGAGGAGGAGGAGGAGGGGGGGTGGTGGGGGAGGAGGTGGGTGGAGGGGTTGGCACATTGGGGGGAGGAGGAGGAGGAGGAGGAGGAGGAGGAGGAGGGAGGAGGAGGAGGAGGAGGAGGAGGAGGAGGACCTCTCCATCTCCCTTTTCTCCCCCGTCCTACCTATTGGTAGCGGTGGTGGAGAGTTGGCCCATCAAGAAGAGCTTGCTCCGTGCGCGGTCTCGGAGCTTCCGATCCCCCATTCCTATGGGGGCGGCGTTTTGCCCTGAGTCATCCTTCAGATGGCCTCCCGTGGGCCCGGCGGCGGGCCCATGGGCGGCCGAGATATCGAGGAGACGCGCCGCCGGGATGCAAGGGCTGACATCGCCGGGGCCAGGAGCCCTTGGAACGACTGCCCGCATCAATGGGGACTCCGACCGCATCGATGGGGACTCACTCGTCATCCATCCTCCTCCACCTCCCTCGTCCTCCTTCTGCCTCCATGTCCTCTCCTCCTCTCCTCCTCCTCCTCCTCCTCCTCCTCCCTCCCCTCCTCCTTCCTCCTCCTCCTCCTCCTCTCCTCCTCCTCATCCTCCTCCTCCTCTTCCTCCCCTCCTCTCCTCCTCTCCTCCTCCTCCTCCTCCCTCCTCCTCCTCCTCCTCCTCCTCCTCCTCCTCCTCCTCGGGTCTTCGGGTCGGGCCTCCGGCGGCGGGTCGGGGCGATATCTGATGACCCCTTCCCCCGGAGCGCTCTCGAAGAGGCGCAGGCGCCGAGAGAGGGAGAGCACCCCGAGGCCGTGGAAGTCTTCGGGGAAAAGGAGGAGGAGGGGGAGGAGGAGGAGGGGGAGGAGGAGGAGGGGGAGGAGGAGGAGGAGGAGGGGGAGGAGGAGGGGGAGGAGGAGGGGGAGGAGGAGGAGCAGGAGGAGGAGCAGGCCGAGAGCCCCCCGAGGCCGTGGAAAACGTCCGAACACTTTTTAACCTCGTCGTCGAGATCGTGGGATGGCCGCTTCCCCGCGCACGTTCCCCGGTGGCCCTCCCTCCCCCCCCCCGGGCTCGTTCCCGCCGTGCTGCAGGTGCTGCGCAACTGGGGCGTCTGCTTCCTGCACGCCCTGGTCCTCGCCGTGCTCTTCTGGTTGGTCCTGCGGGGGCCCTCGCAGTTCGGCTGCGTCTTCCGCGTGAACTGCGACACGAGGCCGCGGGGCGGGCACCCAGACGATGCGTTTTTGTTCAATCCCGGCGATCCTCTTCGACTTCGCCCCGCTGTGCATCAAAAACAGATCCGGGCAGGGCGAGCTACCCCGGGAGAGGGGTCGGGGGGGGGCGCGCAAGGAACAACAGTCGAAGCGTCGCATGGTTGCAGAAGGCTGAAAAGCGGCAAAAGCCAACATCCCTCCAAAACCTCATGATAATCAATAATTTAAAACTTGTCGGGTCTTCCTGGAGGACATCTTGGCGTGCTCTTGGGCCGTCTTGGAGGCCTCTTGGGGGCCTTTTGGGCAGCCTGAGGCCATCTTGAGGCCATTTTGAGCCGTCTTGGGGGCATCTTAGGGCCATCTTGGCCGCCTGGGAGGCCCTCGTGGCCGTCTTTGAGGCATCTTGGAGGCCATCTTGGCAGTCTTGGAGGCCATCTGGTGCTTCTTGGGGGCCTCTTGGGCCGTCTTGGAGCCTTCTTGGGGCCGACTTGGGGGCCTCTGGGGCAGTCCTTGGGCCGTTTTGGAGGCTTCTTGGGCACTCTCGGGGCGATCTTGATGGCCCCTTGGGCCGTTTCGGTCCGTCTGAAGGCCGAAAAGGAGCAACAGCCACAATCCTTCAAAAACATATAGAATATCGATGAGTTTGATCTCGTTGGGCCGTCCTTGAGGACCCTGGAGGACCTCTTCGAGGCCTCCTGGGCCGTCTTGGAGGCCTCTGGGGCCGTCCTGGGCCGTCTTAAGTGTTTTTTTTGTGCGAACTCGAAGGCATCCTGGACTCTAGGGGGGCCCAAGAGGCCCCCCAAAGGGGCCGAAAACGGTCCAAGAGGGCCCCCAAGACGGCCCAAGAGGGCCCCTGAACGGCCCAAGACGGCCCCTGAACGGCCTAAGCTAGCTTCAAAAAGGCCCCAAGAGGCCCCCAAGCGGGCCCAAGGAGGCGGAGGAGGAGGAGGAGCAGGAGGAGCTGGGGGAGGAGGAGGAGGAGGAGGAGGAGGAGGAGGAGGAGGAGGAGGAGGAGGAGGAGGAGGAGGAGGAGGAGGAGGACGTCGACGAAGAGGAGGAGGAATAGGAGGAGGAGGAGAAGGAGAGGAGGAGAAGGATGAGGAGGAGGAACCAGGACGAGGCCAAGGAAGGAGGAGGAGGAGAAAGAGGAGGAGGAGGAGGAGGAGGAGGAGGAGGAGGAGGAAAGATAAGGGAAGAAGGAGGAGGAAGAGCAGGAGGAGGAGGAGGAGGAGGAGGAGGAGGAGGAGGAGGAGGAAAGCCACTGGGCTCAGGCCATTTTGGCGGAGCACAGGGCTCAGGCGCCGCGCCCCCCTCACGGTAGTTGCTCGTGAAAGCTCCCGCGGCTAGGCCGGCGGCTGAGCACCAGAGGGCGCGCGCGACCCACGGCGCGCTCGGGGCGCCGCAGGGGCTCCCCCGAGCCAGCCTGGCACAAGAGGCAGCGGGCACAGCGAGGGCGAGCTCGCCTTCTCCTCAGTGTGTTCCAGGCCAAGCGCCTCCTCGAATCGCATCACAGCACGATGGGTGGAGGTACTTGGACATGCAGGCAGTGCGAGACAAGAAATCCTAACTCTCAGTGGACATGCTCGTGTGGCAACGTGTGGGCTCCTCGCCCCGATCCCACCAGACGTTCGGCCAGCAGAAAAAGGGACCAGAAGAAGTCCGCCAGCATAAGGGAGTTGATCGCACAGATCCCTGTTGCAGCACCTGATGAAGCGATTGCCAACATCACGGTGTGGGAGCCGCCGCCACCAGAGGCGGACGAGCTGAAGTTCTACAAGTCAAGGGCCCAGTCGAAGCTCCAGAAGTTCGCCAACCTCCTCGTCGCGGTCCGTGACGCAGGGAAGGAGGATCCAGCCCTGGAGTTCGACATAGGGGTGCTCAAGTACATGATGAGTGCATGCAAGGGCTCAGAGAAACAGTTGCATGAGTTGAAGGCCCAGCTCATCAGCGCAAAGGAGAGGCTCGGCAAGATACGAGCTAAGATCGAGGAGCTGTTAGACGAGGAGGCGACGCTCTGCCTGATGGTGCAGAAGCTGCAGAACTCCATCCAGCAGCTACGAGAAGCGGAGGACGCACCAGATCATGAGGAAGACTGGTTGATGGCCCCGCCAGGAGGAAGTGAACATGGTCTCAGAGCAGCCAGCAGTGCCCAGAGGCCGTGGGTGCAGGCGGCGGCCGAGAGGGCGGCAGCACAGGCGGAGGCAAAAGCTCAGTCAGCCAAGGCCGCGGCGGAAGCAATTGCCAGCAGAGTGCCGCCGCCGCCGCCACCAACGCCCAATCAGCCCATGGCACAGACTCAGGCATATCAGCCACCCCAGAAGGCAGCACCAAGGGCAGCCTCAGGGGCGCCGCGCAGCCAGCCAGCCACTGCAGCCGCTGCGCCGAAGGCTACAGAGCCCGACGGCCCGCGCGCAGCATGGCACAGTGGACTGCGTACGGAGGGGCAAGAGGGCCCAACGGCGGCTGCCATCACTGCGATGACGGAGCAGATGAGAGCCGTGCAGGCCCAGCAGCTAGCCATCCAGGAGCACCTCTCGAGGATGCAGACGGGCCAGAACTTCCATGCCTTCGCCCTGGCCAGGGTATTGGGAGTCGGCATCGGTGCAGCAGCAGGTGATGTCCTCATGGATGCGCAGACGATTCAGAAGGCACAGCGGGCGGTGATCTCGGGACTCTCGATCCCTAGTGCGAGCCCCCCTGATCTTCAGGGGTTGGCGCCTGAGCGCATGCAGAGGGACCCCGCCTCCACGGCGCCAGGTTTTGGCGAAGCCCCCCCTGGTGCAGCGCCAGCCACGGGGCCGAGGGCGCCCACGCAGCGCAGAGCGAGCTCGCTAGAGCCTCCCGTGGCAAGGACACCGCCGCCGAAGAGACAGTCGGCATCGCCGAAACCAGCCAGGGCCCCCTGCAGAGGCGTCTCAGCCGAAACCAGGGCCCAGGCCGAGGAGAAGGCAGTTCCAGACACACCGAGGGCGAAGGGCGTGTCCAGGGTGACAGCAGAACTGCAGAGGAACGAGCCCAAGGAGGAGGTCCTGCCGATAGATCCAGAGCTACTGATCGCGACGCAGCCAATGGTGATGGAGGAAATGATACCTGGGCCAGTGCACATCTTGCAGCACATCCAGGGGGCCTCCATCGACCTGATCAGTCAGACACAGCGCTCTCCCACACCACCGCCGGCGCAGAGGTCGCCTGGATCGCCAGTGGATCCTCCGCAGTCAGTGCCAGCGGCGCTGTTCCCCCCCGCGTGGGCAGCAGCAGCAGCAGCGGCAGCAACATCTTCAACGGCAGCATCGTCAGCATCGGCAGCGCCTGCGGCAGTGCCCGCGGCACCAGCAGCGGATGCACCTCCTGCGGCTTCGAGGACCCGACCGCTAGAGGAGGAGGAGAACAAAGAGAGGGACATGGGAGACTCGCCCAACAGGTCCCCCCCCAAGAAGATGCAGTGCCAGGGTTGCGAGCTGGAAGACGGGTCCAACTTGTAAGGCCCAGCAGGGTCTCATGGGGCACAGTCGAAGTGAATCGCTTTGAAGCGCATGCACCTATAATTGTCCGACAAGCCAGGGACACGCTTTCTCGGACCTGTTTCACTAGGCCGATTCTTAGGTCGGCCCATGCCTCGGATATCTCGACCAAGGGATGTGGTCTTGGGAATTCGCATCCAGGCAATATTTCTTCGGCAGCCACTTCAGGTGATGCCACTGAGGACTCATCATCAGCTTCCACTCGGTCCAACGGCCGAACGAGGTATCGCTTGCGGGGCAAGGCCTCGAAGGAGCATCTTTTCTTGCCTCGTCCTCGCGAAGTACAGCACGCTGCACATGGGGTGCGAGGACACGAGGCCAATCAAACGTCAATTACAGTTGCGGTGGTGACTGCCCCTCCCCCCCCGCCGCCGCACCCCGCTCCAAACAGGGAGCAGCTCGAAGCAGTTGCCGGGGGGAGTGCGATGGCGTTGAGGGAGGACGGTGGGTATACTACTTCCCTTCGTCTGTTCCCTGTACTTTTCCAGTATCCTGAGAGCAAGGGCAGTGGGCACTGTGATTTTCAGGAAGCGGACAGGATATATCAGGTTTTACTCCAGAACATCAACTGGCTTGAGCTTTGCAATGACGATTTTGGTGATATTCCCTTACATCACACTGCCAAATTTGCTCTGGATATCTCTGCGCGCGGGGCACATAGAGCGAGATCAGTACATATCTATGTCGACGCCTCGTACAGAAAGACGCTCAGGGACTCAGCCTGGGCCTTCGCTGCTGTCGCGATCTCGCCTGACGACACGGTGAGCTTCCTGGGATGGCAAAAAATGAGCGCGTGGGAATCCACAGCAATGCAATTCGAAAGGGACGACGTCACTAGCACGACTATCGAGCTCATGGGGATACTATGGAGCTCACTCTGGATCTTGGGTTTCTTCGGGCCGAACACGGTGCACTCCCCCCCAGCTCTGGCCATTTTTTGCGATAACCAGTCGGCTGTCAACATATCCTTGGGTTTGGAGGTCCCGTCGGAGAACCAACACCTGGCCTGGCTTACATACCATATATACCAGTGTGCGCTCAGGAGGCACGGCACTTTGCTTTTGCATGTATGCGGTCACTCTGGGCATCCTTGGAATGAGTTGGCAGACAGTCTTGCACGGTCGGACCGAGCGGCTGGGTGCTCACCCCCGCCGGCCTTACGCGAGGCACTCAGGTACACGAACGACCTCGAATGGTGGTGGCGAAAGGAGGCACCTGCGGCCACAAGAGAAGCGCACCCTATAGGCCCCGACAACACCTTTCGGTATCCTGGGCGCCCTCAAGTGTCGGTGGAGACGCTAAGGGATACTATGGGATCCCAACCCTCGCAGAAGACGACCCCCAAGTCTTGCCAGTTCAGTATCAGCGTGAGGCTTGCCACCTTCAACGCCAAGACAGGCAGGGGCGCGGAGGCCACTGCGGCAAGACGCGCCAAAACGTCGGGAGAGGTTCTCAGGTTGCAGTTTGCTCAAGAGCAG